TTTCCTATTATATAAAAAAAAATTATATCTTTTATCTTAAATATAAATAAATTTATCTATTTTTTCATTTAATTATATTTTTTCTAAATTTAATAATATTTTCAGTAAAATATCCTTCTTTTAATATATCACTTTTCTTATATACTACCTTTTTAAGGTCTTTTAAACTTACACTATTTTTCTTAACTTCTTTTAAAGTTTATAAGATGAACAATTTAAAAAAAAAAATCTTATAAAATTTAATAAATAATTATCTTTCTTAATACACATAAGATTAATTATTTTTCTTATATCTCTTCACTAAATATTTTACTACCTTTGAAAAATTTGTTTAATTATCCCACTACTTAATTAATTATAAGCTTTTCTTATAATTTCATCATTTTTTTAATGAAAAGTGAAGTGCCTGATTTTCAGTGACACTACATAACGAGGTTTGGAAAGTAAAAATGAGTCTTGCATGTTATGCTACCCAAAGATCCTCTTCCGAGTTCCAAAGAAAGCAAAGGGTGGGGTTTGAGTTTGAGAGAGTCACAAACCATGGCAGAGAAGAGTTGACCCCCGAGCCACGCGCCGCCGCCGGGGCTGACGGACTGCTCGACAATAGCAACTTTGACGGAGGGGTTTTTGGAGAGTTCGTAGGCGCAGGAGAGTCCGGCGGAGCCAGCGCCGACAATGACAACATCGGTGTCGGCGTGGGTGACCATGTCGGTCATGTACCTGCGGGTCATCTCGCGTGCCACCATCGACTCCTTGATAGGGGCGAACTTGAAGGACCCCAGGTCGTAGGGCGGTGGCGGTGACGCCGCCGCGGACATGGAGGCGCGCGGCGCGTGAGGGAGAGGGCGCAGGGCGCGCGTGACATTGAAGGAGGGGGTTGGCTTTTGGAAGAGGAAGGAAGAGGTGGTGATGGAAGCCATATTGGGAGTGAAGTGTGGTGTGGTGAAGTGGGTTTGGAGGGAGTGGAGTGAGATATTTATGGATGGGAGTGAGTGGGTTACAATTGGAAAATTCCAAAAGTAGTGTGTCATGAAACAAAATGGTGGGGAAAGAGAAATCCTCTCATGGATTTCTAGATGGTGTGCATGGAGGACGCGTGGCACTTTTGGTAAAATCAACGCTGCAGAGTGCAGAGGATTACGTGGTCATTGTGTTCCATTGGTACTGTATAAATTAATTTAATAAAAATGCTAAGATAATTTTTTAATTAAAGATAATTTTTAATTATGTGAAAATTAAATATAGTACCAATCAAAACATTAGTTGATAGGATAATATAATTTTTTATTTTAGGCTTAATTACGTTTTTACTCTATTGTGCAATTTTGATTCTCAAAGTTTTAATTGAATAATTTTAATTTTTAAAAGATTGTAATTGTGCGATTTTGGTCATTCAATTTTTAATTAAATAATTTTAACTTTTTAAATATTATAATTGTGCGGTTTTAGTCTCTTTTATTAAAAATTTAATAATTTTAATATATATATATATACAATATTTTAAAATTGTATAAATATTTGTCTATTTAAGATAACATATATTATACTTTTCTTCAATATATCAAATGATATATATTTATTTTTAATAAATAAATAAAATTTATATTTTATAATATTACTGATAAATTAATATCAATAATATCATTAATACATTTATAAATAAATTAATAATTTAATAATTATAATTTATTATATATTAATATACTTTTAAAAATATAAGTATATTAATTAGAAATATGTCTATTTCTTAGTATATAAATTTTATTTATTTATCAAAAATAAATATATATTATTTGATACATTAAAGAAAATTATAATATGTGTTAACTTGAATAGACAAATAATTGTATAATTTTAAAATATTATATATATATATATATATTAAAATTATTAAATTTTTAATTGGAGAAAATTTTTAATGGAAGAGTTAAAAAATAAATAAGAGTTATTTAGATTTATCAACATAATATTAATTAATTTTTTATTTATACTCCTAATAATATTATTTAGAAAGTGGTTATTATGTTTTTATTGTGTTTTTATTTTATATCAAAAAGATTAATTATAAAATTAATTTTATAAAATTATTATTCTCTTTTAATTATTTATTACTCTCTTTACTTCTTATTATAAGATATTTTTTAATTGAACTATACATACTATTATAATTATATAAGTAGCTATATTAGTTAATTTTATTAGACTTATAAAAATAAAGTCGTGATGTACCAATATTACCCTTCTAATTTAATTATTATTAAATTTTTTTTAGAAGTGAAGATATTATTTTATATAAAATCTCATAAACTAGTATTAATAAAATTTGTCAATTAAAGAACTTAAAAGGTGAGATTGAACATTTATTTATAATAAAAAAATTTATTATCTAAAAGAAAATAAAAATAAAAATAATGAAGAATAAAATTAAACTTTGATAAAAATTATAAAATACTTTATTAAATGGCTAACATTTTCTTCTAAACATGTCTTATAATAAGCACATGAACGAGTAATTTTTTCAATTTATATAGAATAACTTAGGTGATACTTATTACGAGAGTGGTTGGAGTAATGTTTTACACAAGTTTCTATGGTAAATCAATGGATGATTCTGGATCATTAACTGCTAACTACAAGTGTCATCCATGCAACAAAATAAGGAAGAAGGAGTGGTTTCTACAGTCCAAAGTCAAAAATAGAGTATGCTTGTGAGCACATGTGAGTGTGGGTATACGCATTAATTCCACTTTTCAATGGTGCAAGCAAGTGGTGGGGTTTCATGATTTTTCAATTCTCACACACTTTCTGTGATATTTAGCCACCAAAAAGGTTGTTTCCTTTGTCACGACATGCGTAATCAAATATATGTTTTCACTTTCTCTTTTGTAAGGCAAGATCACGGATGGTAACAAAATCATACCCTAGGTGTGGTCGTTTGGAAACCATGAAGTGTGGCTTTTAAAAAGTGAATATGTTTGGATTGTTTTTCATTTGATGTCTTCTTCTGTATTGTTCTTGCAAGATGACTCATTATGGTGATTCGAGGTTCGAATTCGTTTTGGAATATCCTATACGGGTCTCTAGAGAGTGTCATCCCATGTCATGAAAAGGATTGGTGATTAATAAAATCCATATCCACTATCTTTTACTTGTCTTCTTTTGCTAATGATTCTTGTAATATGGTGAAGTTCAATTTTCATTAGGATTCGTAGTTATTATCCGACAATAATAAAATTACTATTAAAGACAATACCTATAGAGGAAAAAATAATAATTAATGTTGTTTTTACTTCATTTTTATGACTTTTTTTTAATAATTTATTATATTTTATGATTTCTCTTTTTATAGAACTTAATTTTGTTAGTATCAAGATTCATATATTATTACCTAATTAAAATCAATATTAAATTTGATTTTTAAAGAAATTATTATAAAAGTTAACAGTCTTATATGGTATATGATCAAATAATAGTATAATTTTTATTACAATATATCAATGTATTTCAATTAAATTATATATTATTTTCTTATTTCTGTTTATATTATAAAAAATATTATAAGAATAGCATTACTTTTTAGAAAATATTCAAATAGATGAAATATTTTTTCCCATAAAAATATTACTTTTTGAAAAATTAACTTTTGTGTTTTTAGTTTTTAAAATTCTAAAAATTATGCATGGTTTAATTTTTGGAAAATAAACTAAAACTATAAACATAAAAGCTAAAACAAAAAAAAATCAATTAGAAAATAAAAGTTATATTTTCAAAAGTAAAACCATTTGTAAATATTTTATTGTCGCATAGTTTGACACTAAATAAAATTTTGTTGCAAATTTCACACATTAAAAATTCCCTGCTAATATTTTTGAAGTGACACTTGTATTTTTTTATTTTAGTTTTAATTATCATCATTAAAGTAATGTATTTGAACATCTTGGAGCTACTGATTCTACAACCAAAGACAATTAATCAAGGACACAAACTATGTCAATTTTGTTCTTACAATTCACATGTTTCTGTTTTCCTCGCTCCTACACTTCCACCAATAGATACAATCAAAGTCCGTCCAACATATTTTAAAATTTAAAGTAAATTTTGAAATTAGGTATTTTTAGAGATAAGAGAGTGAAAAAGAAATTAACATTCAAAGGAACTTTCAACAAAAAAATTATAATACTAAAATTGAACTCAGTCTTTACAATACTAAACTTAAAAATCAAAATTAATACTAATACAATTAATTCATTAAATTCTATAAATAAATAAAAAATATTTTAAAATTTTAAAATTAAAGCTTGAACAGTCTTATACTTGGACCGGCTCTAAACCCTATCCTACTTCAAACCCAAACCAAGCAACCCAATTACCCATCAAGTGTATGACCCAAGCCCAATTAAAGAAAGATGTGAAGCGGTCCTATGATATAGTTGTGATAAAACAATCCATTTTGGTCACAGATATGTTACCCCAAAGTTCCTTCTAAGATTTTGTAATATCCTCGAGATTTACATAGATCCAAACCTAAACCACATCACCTTTTGATGACCCAACTTGTTTATTTTATTAAAAATAATTTTGTATAGTTAGAAGTCCTTAAATAGTATAATTTTATTTTGGTTTATTTTTTTAAGAATTTTTTCTTATGATGACAGCTATAAAAACCCACAATGTATTAATGTATTTTGTGTGACCTAGCTTTGCATTTAGTATGTATATGTCTTTTTATCTAGCAAACTTTTATTTTTTTTCTACAATATGCATTAAAACTTATTTATTCCTTGGTGGCTTTCCAGCTTTTGTATATGGATTACATAAGCGAGTTTAACTCGACATAAATGTTTCTTTTTATCGTAACCAATCAAATCCACAATTTAAGTTCACAACCACCACACTTATTTGCAAGCGTGCTACATTAAGTGCAAAAATGTTTTCAATAAGTAAACCACTTGGTTTCCATATATTGTAGAAATGATTTACATATATCTCTTCATTTTTGGTACCTTAACCTAAAAGTTTGAACATCCTCCACATTTTTTCAAGAGTATTACCACCCTTGTTAAAAGTTTGTACCTTAACTTCTTTTAACTAAACCACTTGGTTTTCATATCTTGTAGTATTCTTCAAAATAAAATATATTAAAAAAAAACAACATCAACAACAACAACGTATACCCGTCTTCTTTTTCAAGGATTTTCTTGGGAACCAAATAGCACATCACTCTAGACATGAAAATTTATCCCTTAATAGTTTGGTGATTGCATCGTTTAGACTTTTCAGTTTACAATGCTTGGTGTGAATATAATATTAATATGTAACTTTTCTATGTTGGCTATGCAGATAAATTACTACTACTCTTTTTTTTTTATATATATAAATTGTAATTTTTTAGCAAAATTTTGTTTCTGTTCCTTTTTAATTGTCAATTTTTAGAAAAATTTTGTTCATTTTACTGACGTTTTCAATATTCAAGATTACATTAATTACATTTTATCAGTTGTATTTTTTACTTTTCACCTGATTTTTAATTAATTTACACATTAAAAATTAATATATATTTATTATGGAACAAGAATGAAAAATAATAATATAAAATCATGTAGCAAAATGATCCCTTGGTAAAACTTACTAATTAAATAAGCTAATTGAACTTGTAATCCATCGTTGTATCATTATTGTCCAGGGTACAAAATCACCGAAGTTGTTATCGAATTAGGAATCCCTAAACTTAGACATACCTTTTTGTGAGAAAACTATCACGTTCTTAAACCTACATTCCAAAGAATATTAAATATGCACAATACCCAAGTCTATAACCTGATTTGATGTAAATATTTTTTTAACAATTTTACCCTTTAAATTTTTAAATAATAAAAATAATACTAAAAAAATAACCACTTTAACAAAGACAAAACTCAAACTCAATATTGAGATTTAATGATCAAACATAACATCAATT